ATAAACATAAAGTAGCTAATTGTTAAAAAAAAAAAAAAAAAAAACTTAAATATTTACAACGTCTCCGATTCAGTTATTTAAAATTGCATACTCATTATAGCTATTTTGAATATATTTAGAAAAACAAATTATGGCAAAATCTCATTCATTACAGGACTGGAGCCCAGAGTTGCAACTAGATGGGATATTCAAAAGTATGCCAGAGAGGCCTACAAGTTGGGTGTCAGGTACATTGGTGGTTGCTGTGGATTTGAGCCCTACCACATCAGGGCAATTGCAGAGGAGCTGGCCCCAGAAAGGGGATTTTTGCCACCAGCTTCAGAAAAACATGGCAGCTGGGGAAGTGGTTTGGACATGCACACCAAACCCTGGATTAGAGCAAGGTAAGTTCCCTCAAACTACATTTGCTAACCCAAACTCATATAGATTATGAATTTGTCCAAGTGAGGCCATTACAAAGAATGCAGCTAATTTGCTGTGTGATGGTAAAGAATCTCACTTATCCTCCTTAAATTTCCTCATAGAGATATCTATAAAACATCCTTATGGGGTGATTTCTTGAGAAAGGCTTTAAGATAAAAAATGTAAATAACATGATGATGACATGTGATTTCATGCCCTCATAAAGGATGGATGACAACATTGAATAGCACTGATTGTCAAGAAAATAGCATAACTTTAAGTATAACAAATAAAAAAATAAGTGCCTTTTTTGTGCCAAGCATAATTCTCAGCTGAGAATGCAGTGCTAAACAAGATAGAGCTTACCTTGCAGTGAGAGAGATAAATAATAAACAAGCATAAACACTGTGCAATGCTCTAGCAATATAAAAAGGAAAAGCTGTGGTCCCTGGCTTGGAGAATCTCACAGTCTACTGCAGACAATGGATATGAAAGCAGTGACTGCTTTCAAAGAGGCATGGATAAAAAGGCCAGAGTGAAGAGGGGGAGCATGACTGAGCATCTGTGCCTAATAGAAAGATATTTTTAAAGGGACTTTTCAGCTTGGTTTTGAGGACTAAGCAGGGGTCCACTAGATGAAGGATGGATGAAGGATGGTATATGCTCAGGAAGAAGAGCAGTTTTGTTCTTCCAGCGGACGATGATTGAACAGACACAACTAGCTGGAGTCAGATGCTGTTGCCAGCACTAACCTAGTGAGCTGGACAGTGTAGGAGGCAAGGAGATAAACAGATACATTCAAATCAATGCAGTAAGTTCTAGAAGAAAAATAAGTACTGATGCCGTGGGCTCTGAGCTAATGTGCTGCGGAGCAGAAGACAAAGCTGATGCCTGAGCTGAATTTTGAAGGAGTAATTGCTTTAGCCACACAAGGGAACAGACTTCAGGAAGATGCTGAGGGGAGACAGATGATCATGTGTAGAGAAACTACACATTTAACAATGTTGGAGACAAAATGGGATTGAAGACGGACTTCAGGAGCAGAAGAAGCATGACCTCATCCCAAAGGCAATGAGGAGTCTGAAGGGGTCTGGCCCAAGGATGCAAGGTCAGATTTGCAAATAAGCACATTTTAATAGCCTTGAGGCAGGAAAACTTGAGAATAGTCCCTTGCTAGAATGGATACTGGACCTAATTGGGCCTGAACTAGTAGGAGGTGAAGGAAATAGAAAGGATGAAGGACAAAGAATCTAGAATCAAAGATGCATAAGAAATACTGGATTTGGAGAAGTAACAAATGTGGTCTCAGCTAGTTCATGAGGTGGAGTGCCGGAAGATGAGAGAAAGAAGGTAAATTGCTTGGAAAATATTCCTATTTTAAATTCTTAGTTTTAGATCTTTATAAGATACTTAAAAAAGAAATCCAAAGTAATTTGAGACCTACAGAATCTGGGGTAGGGGAGTGGGGAAGACTTTTAGTCCAAATTATAAAATGTGTTTCTATGGACACCCTCTTAGCATGCAAAGATGGCTCCATGCACATATTCCAGCTCAGTGGCATATAGAGACTGATTCTATGGGAGGAGTCTAATGTTGGTGTGTTTTGTTCACCCAGGGCCAGGAGGGAATATTGGGAGAATCTTCGGATAGCCTCAGGCAGGCCATACAACCCTTCAATGTCAAAGCCTGATGCCTGGGGAGTGACCAAAGGAACCGTGGAGCTGATGCAGCAAAAAGAAGCCACAACTGACCAGCAGCTGAAGGAGCTCTTTGAAAAACAGAAATTCAAATCTGCACAGTAGCCTCAATGGGGAATCGATTTTTGGTGAATTCTTCTGTTTAGGCCACAATTCCTAAAAATAAGGAAAAGAAAGTTAAAAAGCGATGCATACGTTAGCACCAGGCTACACGTTTAACTGGTATTAGTACAAATAGCACTTGGCAATTTTGAAAGTATGTTTTAGAAGTTTACTAAAAAGTAAATCTTAAAAAGGTTTACAAAGTACCTACCAAGTATAAGAGATTATGGAAATCATTTGTCCAAGGAAAAGTAATTCAGGCATTAATCCTTCTTTAAGAAGTTTTTAAGCTAGTAAGGAAGATGAGACAGGAACTGTCATAAATGACTCAGCAACCAGGAACAGATAAAGTGCTATAGAAAAGTGGCTTCCAAGTCCTTTTGAACATGACCTATGGTAAAGACAGACAAACCAAAAAAGAAAACCAATTTACATTAATGACCCAGTAAGACATGTAACATATAAGCATGAAATAAAATGTTTGATCCATTCTGGCAATTTCTATTCTTTTGTGTTATATTTTATTAATAATCAGTTTTGGCCCACAGTTTAAAAGCATTGCTATAGGCCACTTCATATATGGGAACTTTCCTTTATCTTGAAGTTTATTCTTATAAGATCAAGGTCATATGGTATTAATAAGTATTGAAAACCCAAAGTTCTGTTTCTGGGTTTAGGTTCTTCTCTCCCCTTCACCTCTGTGAACCATACACCAATGTGTTGGTATTTAGACCCTTTCTATCCTGCTCAAAACTGAATTGCCCTAAAAGACTTAAGTTGGTAAGGCTCAGTTATTTGGATAGCTTAAAAAATGGGAAATTTTCTATTTTTTATTACAAACTCTAGGTTTATTATGTTGAGAAGTGCAATATATTTATTCTGGTAAAGTAAATCTACTTTCCTATGTGAGCTCAAACCTGAAAGTACATTATTATAAGAAACACAGCTACCCTTAACATACAGAAAAGTTAATAAGCTGCTTTACAAAACATTCTTGGGTCAGGCTGACTTTTTATTTTATTTTCTTCAGCTTTTAAAAACAATGAGACTCTCTTTGTTGTATTCTTTACTTCTACAATTGGCTAATTGTTTTTGAAAACTCTCTACCTCAATTTCTCAACTATTAAATAGTAATACTACGTATGTACTTCATAAGAATTCCAGAATTTCAAAAGAGAAGGTGGTGGTGGTTCCATGCCATCAAGTTGGCTCTGACTCATAGCAAGCCTGTGTGTGATAGAATGAAGCACTGCCCGGTCCTGCCCCAGCCTCACAATCCTGACTGTACCTGAGCCCATCATTGCAGCCACTGTGTCAGGCCATCTCACTGAGCGCCTTCCCCTTTTTCACTAACCCTCCCTCCACTTTACCAAGCATGATATCCATCCCCAGGGAATGGTCCCTTCTGACAACATGACCAAAGTAAGTGGGATTGAAGTCTGGCCATTTTTGCTTCCAAGGAGCATTTGGCTTCACTTTTAACAGGACAGCTTTGTGTGTTCTTCTGGCAGTCCATGGTACTTTCAGTGTTCTTCGCCAACATCACAACTCAGAGCATCAACTCTTCTTCAGTCTTCTGAGGAGGTAGTATTTAAAGGAAAAAAAAAATTTTCAGAGGTTTTTTTACCCAGAGAGTCAATAGTCTACCCATCGTTGTTCAAATCTCAGACACAGTACAGGCAGTACAACTTCTTGAGGAGGTGTATGGATGAGGTGAAGTAAGATTTTGACCAGAGAAGGAGCTCCATATTTTGTACAAAGTTGCTCTCTACCATTTCTCCTATATTATCAAACCAGGTTTAATATTTAAAACTTTCATTCATATTGAACTTACTGCTCTGTTACTGTGTAAGAGGCATGTACCTTTACTATTCCTTTCAGAACCTATTACCACACAAAATGTAACATTTAAGGCATTTGACTGCTAACCAGAAGGCTGGCGGTTCAAACCCACCAGCTACTCCTCAGAAGGAAGGTTGGACAATCTAGTTCCATAGAGATACCACCTCGGAAACCCAAGGGGGGTCGCTATGAATCGGGTCCGACTCCATAGCACATAACAACATCCCTCAAAACGAAATAGATTGAAGAGATTCTTGAATTTAACTATATGTCAACACTGCCTCCTAGTGGCATGTTTTATATTTTGAAAAATGTTTTTGAACTTCAGCCTCTCCTCCAAGAGCTAACCAAAAGGTTGGTGGTTCAAACCCACCAGCCACTCTGCAGGAGAAACATGAGGCAGTCTGCTTCTATAAAGATTCACAGCACTGAAAACCCTATGGGGTAGTTCTGATGACAATGGGTTTGGTTTGGATTTTCTAAGAGCTATCATTTTATTTCCAGAAATCTTTGTTATAAAGGAAAGCTCATTTACATACTATCAAAAGAGTTTCTCTATGTTCAATATTTCTCCCTGGTACAGATATTTGTATAGAGTCAGAGCCAGAGGGACCTTATAGATCAAAAGCCCAAACTTTCCCTTTTAAGGGTATAATTACAAAGGCAGGGCACCAAGTCAGGAACGACTTGACTTCTAGTTCAAGGCTGCCTAACAAAGAAGACTTTAGCTTGAATTCTTGGTAGGAGGAACATGGAACCAGAACAGGAGAGATGGTTCACAAAACTAAGGAGTTCATGCTCCAGCCAGTAAATCAGATAAAGACCCTTGTGTTGCTGAGTCAATATAAACTCACTGAATAAATCATTTGCAGCTTATACCTTGGCACGTCTTCACACTGTGGTAAAGCACCTTTGGATAAGTGAGTTAAGTCAGTGCAGACTCATAATGCAGAAGAAAACTGGACAAGGACATAGCAAAAGCTCCAGCTCAATTTCCAGCCAAACAATAGGCCTTTAAAGTGAACGATAACACCAGGGGGTTTCATACTCCTTAGAACGACCAACCATAAGAGATGGAAAGGGCAGCATTTGCCCAGGGATAGAGCTCAGAAGTCCGGAAGGACAGGAAAGAAGGAGGAATGGAAACGGCAAACACAGGGAGGAAGTGTGAAGAGAGCTGTTACATTTGGGGATTGCAGTCAGTGTCACAAATCAAAATGTATATGAATTGTTGAATGGAAAACCAATTTACTCTGTAAACTTCACCCAAATCACAATAAAGTTTAAAAAAAAAGAGAAAACTGTACTAATAAGGTATTATGACAAGCATACACATATATACTCCTAGCCTTCAAGCTTACTATTTACTGATGGAGATTTAAAAGAAGAAGAAGTTTAAAATAATAATAAAGTAATGTTAACAGTTTTTAAAAAAATGAGAGAACTTCAGTTCCCAACTTCTCCAGAGGGGGGCAGCAAGTTACCAGCAGGAAATGTCAGACTCGCTGTATTTCGCATTGACCTTAAGCTATTTCATCAGAATGGACTGTAACATTAAATGACAGAGATATCTGTAGGCCTCTTTTTTGTTTTGGTCTGATTTTTCCTAAGATACATGAATCTTCGACCCATATTCAGGACACCTCACCAAGGAAGGAAAACTTCATACACCTGCAACCAGAGGCCCGTTTTCTCCAGAGACTTTCACTCTTCTAGCTTTGAGCACACTGAGTAAGAATACTATAGACTTTTTTCCCCCAAGCGGCCTCTCTGTTAATCAATAACATCCCCTTGGCTTCTTCAGAACCTCCCACAGGTTACCAGCCAGGCAGACAACTCCTACTCTTAGACAACAAGGAGGAGGAAACCAGTTTGAAGAGAGAATAGTAAAGATCCGTGGGCAGTTTCAGGGGTATGCCTGAAATGTTAAACTAGAACATGTTAAAGTGGAGACTTAGAGATAAGAAGGCCCAGTATTTCCAAATTATCTTCAGTAACAAATGAATGTTTAGTGTTTGAACAGAAAATGACAGAAGGCAGCCAAATGCAAAGACTTCTGACAGATGGTTACAGGAAGTGCAGGGTCATTTAGAGGAATTGGTGGGCTAGTGTTGTGAATGAAAGGAGTAGCCAGAGAATATTCCAATTTTCAGGCAGCTGGAGGCATTCTTTTGGACTTGACTAGAAGAAAAATTAAAAGGATGGAAAGTGAGGGAGACAGATAATATTTTTACTGCTGTGAGTTACAGGAATAGTGCCAAACAATTCAAGTACAGCAAAGTGGTAAAAATGGATTCATTTATGTGCCACTAAACAAAACACATGATAATTTTAGCGTGTGGTTTGATTGACATTTGCACATATGATGCTTCTAAAAGTTTTCTATGCAAATTTTTATACGAAGTGAGTTTTCAAAGGAAACATTTAGCTTTCTTTTGACGAAAATTTATTTCTCCAAAGGCCTAAAATATCTTGAGCAGTCATCCTTTACAAGCAAATTGTTAATGTACCATTTATAAATTATTTCTGTTTGTTCTTTTAAGCAGGTTCAGTAAGACCTCTTTTTAGCCCCATTTTGTGGTTATTTGTTCCAATTTATTACATGACCTTGAACGGAAAAAAATGAATACCATTTAAATGGTTTAAACTTTTGCCTTAATTCAGCCTGGCCTGCCTTCCAACTATTTCGATTTAATGAGATTTTACTGTTCTTTATAAAAGTTAATGTCTCAACATCTGAACCGGCATGGGGAAGTTCAGAGATTTCTCAAAAACAGTGGAACATAGCGGAAAAAAACAATGAATAAACTTAGAATCAGGAATTTGGGGTGCCAGTCCTAGCTTTGCCACTGCCTGGCTGTGCAACATTGGATAAATCACCTCGCTTCTCTGACCTTCAATTTTCTCATCTGTAAGATGACAATCTCTAATAATCTGCTGGGAAACTCCACAATTTTATGTTTCCAATTTGTTGATACGGATAAACAATAGCCTCATCACTGTCAGTAAACATTTACAGGGTGCCACTTGGTAATGTGCTCCGGCAGACTTAATTGTTAATTAATTATTCTCCTAGCTAAACAGATAGCAGACTAAAACAAATAACACTGTTCAGAGGTCCCAGGAAATGTTGTTAGCCTAGACTCAGCCTGGCCCTGGGA